ACCAGTGCTAACAAATATTCATTTTGAACCCTCTAGTATACATGTATAACCCCCCCCCCCTACACACATTACCTGAAAAAAATATCTAGTATACTTGAAAAGGATTTATAAAGATGTGTAAGTTTTTTTAATGATGCAAATTTCTTTGTCCATTTGATCAATTTATACCCGTCATGATATATTTTATTCAGGTTTTATTAACATCTTTCTTTTTCATAAGATTAAAATTATTCGCTAACTGTAGGTGCCCACAATCTTCCGTGTCGAGTTGCCCTTCATCTCTCTCTCTCTCTCTCTCTCTCTCTCTCTCTCTCTCTCTCTCTCTCTCTCTCTCCAAAAAATCAATATCGACCTAGGCAAAGTTTAAAATATAGTTAAACTCCGGCTGATTTTTATACTGTCATCATATTGCTGCATATAAATTGTTTTTTATTTTTAATTATTCTAAATTACTGATAAAAAGTTAAGAAAATATACTATGAACTATTTTTTATTTGATTTGATAATCAAACAAATTCCTCACTTCACTGTCCCACACCCACACTAACACGACTTAACAAAAATATTAGGAACCAGTAATTTTTTTTTTTACAAAACTAGATGTAATGTACCCCTTCTTATATATATTTATCCTTGCTTAAATCTTTAAAAAGTGTGTGCCTTTCCGCGGTTGGTTTTCACATCATTCTTCTTTTTCATTAATCGTTAATTTTATCTTACATCGGTATAGTTAAAAAAATAATTTATTTAATCTAAGAAGAGGTTGAAGGATTGTAGATTGCAGTTTTATATTACGTATACATGTGTTGATGTTGAATTTCTCAAATTCTAACCGTGTTGAAGAGTCTACCTGTCGCCGTAATGTTGCGTAACTAACTTCTAGTGAAATCCGGCGAGTGGTCTTCCGTATAATGCTGCAGTGACACCTATTGTCTTCTTTACCCGCTACCGTACACACTCGGATCGCCTCAGGCGGTTTCTTCTACACACAGGTGCTTCACAGAGTTTCCGTGAAAGATTATGTAATTCGTCTGGATACCAGCTAAACGACTTGAATAATTTTGGACGAATAAAAAGCGCACTGTTACTGTAAAATCATGATACTGGCAAAGCTATGAAACGTCGATTGATTAAGTTAATTAAATTCGCAGTTATGATAAGGCTGTCCGAAGGCTTAAAATGCCTTGAAAATATACATTATACTTTGAGCTAGATTTAAATTTTAATATGTAATCCTTGTTTGAAATTGTAGTCAACCTGAGATAATAGTTTAATCAGGTTTTATTTTAACCCATTTTTGTGATGTCACATGACTGTGTTGATCACGTGACGGAGATTAATGCTATTCTTTATTGTTAAAAAAACAAACGCTTGGGCACAAGTGCAAAACAAAAATATTGTGCAAAGTTTGTTACATCGATCAATTCATCGTGATCTCTGGTACATAGAAAGTGCTGGGGGTAGGTTTTACTTTTACTCGTGTAGAAAATATTTTATGAGAAATTCAACTTACCAACATAAGAAGGGGTATTTTCCACTCTTTATCGCGATTTATTTAAAAATGGCTAAACTGCACACAATCCCCCAGCAAAATTCAGTTAGAGGACATATTTCTCTTCTAGATTCACACAGAATATTTTCAATTTGTCCTTGTTTATCACTTGTGCCAGTCCAATATAAACACGATTCATAAATTTTAACTCCGTCTACGGACGTGTAAGGGGAGCGTATCACACATTATTTTTGCTATTGTTTGAATATGTGCATATCGGACAAGCAAAATGAATAGGGATATTTAAATTTCAAATGTTCAAATCATAACAGCACACTCGAGCTTAAAAACAATCCTTAAACTTGAATTAAACAACAAGTCCCCAAAATAAATCTACATGCCGTGTAATAATTATAACACTTTCCCCGTCATGTCAGCTCAAGTATGCAGTGACTTGACGTCATATTCTATTATGACGTCATTCTAGGTAGTTCAGAGAAGTAACTACAGATTGAACAGTTTGATATTTTTCGGGCAGCCTTATCCTAGCTGCGTTGATTAATTTTTTTTTAATTAAACAGATAAAAAAGAGTACAAACTTAAACACGACAGTATTGTGTGCTCTACTTCAGTAGAATTTATAAATAAATGTTCATTGTTCTACATTTAGTTCGCACGTAACCCCCCCCCCCCATTTAAATTTGAAAAGAAACTAGATCCATGTGAACGTCTACCGACACTCTATTTGAAAAGAAAATTCTATCAACGTTTTGTTTCAGGAGTATGCTTAGACAAATGATGATAATATATAATGTCATGGTTTTACATACATTTGAATTAAAATAATACTTTCGGGTGGGGATCCAGAAAATCCAGATTCGAAAATCAGCTTAAAGATGTACTGTAACATTGTTTCAGATGAATAATGCGGACAGTAACTAAATCAATGAAAATGTCAAAGGATCAATGATCGATGTAGGCCCGTAGCCCCCCCCCCCCCCCCCTCCACCTGCCCAATAAATGAGATAACAAGTCTTTTTTTTTTAATTAAAACCTCTGCTCTGTCTTTTAATTCTTTACCTTCTTGCAAATGCTTGGATTCGAGTAAGTTTGACAGCACAAAATCAAATTTAGGCGGCCTCCACAATATTAAAATTTTTACATGATATGAAATCTATAACAAACGGTTTTCCTCAAAAGGGGGCACACACAGCCTCACCGCGCGCTATGGGTTTATTAAAATTATTCAAACTAATTTGAATAAATTAAATTAAAATTGAATAAAACACATTTAATCTAACAGTTTATTCTTTGAATTAAATCAAATTTAATTCTCTAAATTAATATAAAAGAAAGTCAGGGAGTTAATGTTAATTAAGAAAATATTATAAACTGCATGTCATATAATAACAATGTTTTATTACAAAAAGGAAAGAACCTCTGTAAAATTTCATATCTCACTACTAAACGAAGATTTTTATTTTTTTTTAATTGCTTATTTTTTGACGGTTTTTAAATTTTATCCCTTCTCTTGAAAATATTTTTTTTTACAAATAAATTTTCTATAAATCGATCAAAGGAGCTTTTTTTTCAATCTTTTCCTCTGGACATATTTAAAAATTATATGAAAAAACAAATAAATGAAATAATAATTTATGTTGAAATAAAGAAAAAAAATCAATTTCATACCTCTGCAGCCTCCCCGAGAGCGAGAACATAAGGACAGTAATTATCAGTAAATGTCAGTACTTGTCTAAGTTTTTCAGCAGGGACAGTAATCGGGTCAGTAATTGTCTAAGTTTATCAGCACCGACTAAGATTGTCAGCACTTTTCTAAGTTTATCAGCACCGGCAGTAAAAAGGTCAGTAATTGTCTAAGTTTTACAGTAACGACAGCACATTGCCAGTAATTTTCTAAGTTTGTCAGTAAAAAATGGGAATGTCAGTACGTTTTTGACTTAGTAGTGAGGTGTTGTGAGATGTGTTGTATTTGTATTGTTTCATCTTGTATATTATTAGTAACAAAGTTTCTTGAACATTCCAGAGTGGTCAATATGTTTGGTCATTTTTTCTAGAACATTCTTGAACTTTATTCATGTCCAGAACTTTCCAGGAATATCATGTATTTACAATTTCTAGAATATTCTAGATTTATGATACTGTATAAATACCCTGTCAATTCGATTCATAGATACATTGTCGTATAAGCATCATTGAGGTATTACTGGGATATAATTTCACTGGGACATTGTGTGCAGCAACGGACACTCTGATGTATGTATTTTTAGATTTTTGCTAAGTTTGTACTTAATGATTTGTATATTACTGTAAATAAATTATTGTTAAGTTTAAACTGTGTGATTGATCTTTGCTGGCATTCAGGGTTATTCTGACCCATAACAATGTATAGAGGGCCCTAGTATAGGGAAGAATAGTGCATGCACTAACCAGGTTACCTTCTTTAAATAAAGTTTTATTATTATTATTATTATTATTATTATTATTAATTATTTCAAATAGATTATTTTGAGAATTAATGACAATTAACTATTGTTCTCTATTTGATATATGAAAAACTTCAAGATAAAAAACTAATCTATTCAAGATCAAAGATTTTTCAGAATAAATTTCAACTTTAGGAATTATTTAATAATAATATTGAATTATCCTTTATTCATACAGGATGGCACATTATTTAACAACAAGATTATGTACAGAATCATATAAATATAAAGCGAGTAGAATATGAAATTAATATTAACACATAGTAAAAAAAAATATTTATTTAGCATTAGTATAATAATTCTGATGGAAAGAAACACGAATTGAAGTCTAAGAATAAATTCTATTTGTGCGATTGAAATATGTTACTTTTGGGTAGCAAAGAGTCACCTAGAGTTTGATTTTAGGGTGGGAAATTTTATTTTAAAAAGGATTTTATAGAGCCAGGTATTAAGATTCCTTGATAAAGTGTATTTATTTCCTCTGTAAAACAAATCATTCAGTTTCTCTTACATTCTTAGTAAGGTGTGGTGAATAAAATCATTAATATTAGTTTCTTTATTTATGCATTGATTATTCATTCTTTAATAATGACCTTTCACAACTGCAATGGTGAGCGCAAACAAAGTGAGTACTGCATTAAAGTGTGGAACCCCGTGATATTTGAAAAACTTGTCTTTACAAAAAATACTCACTCTATTATACATGTTTAAATTAAATATTGTCACCAAAGGGAAGAAGCTTACCTTTTAGATTAAATATAATTTAAAAAGGAAAATTTGGGAAAGATAAATTTACTGTGATGGTACATTACCCGATTCCCTTCGATAGAACCTAGAAAAAAGGTAAGAATTAAGAAACAGGGAATAAAGGGGTTTATGGTTTATATATTATATATATATCATGGGGTTTCATGTGTTAATAAATAACTTACAGTTCGCTCTCACCATTGCAGTTGCACAACTTCATTCTTCAAAGAATGATAGACATATCCTTGTCAACTCACCTTTTTCTCTGCCTGTCTCTCGTCCAATAAGGTATGTGCCAAGCAGACTATTCAGATTCAATGACTCTAAGGATTTATGTTCACGTTTCATGATCTCATCCACATATTGTTTGAATTCACTGAACCCGAACTCATTAATGTCGTCATCGTCCTCTACCATATCAACCACATGATGAGGAAGATTCACTGAAAACAGTTGTATCCTATTGAAAATTTTGAAATAGTTAGCGAACTATGTTTTTAAAATTCAAATAAAAGACTTAGATATAATAGGTATTAAGTATATCTTTAACATGAATGTTATGCGCTGTAAAACAAAATAAATACTTACATATCTTTAAACCATCCTCATATATTTTTGAATATTTCGAACGTGTGTGATTAAAGCGAACAAAGTCCAATCCAAATTTCAGAACAATATCAGAAATCTCACTGCTACATATTATTGCTTCCTGTATGTTAGTCATATACGGAACGCATTTTCTCAAAACTTCTGTGGGTGTCACCTTCAAGAATTTGTCAAAATCGTTGTTGCACGTCAGGCATTTATAAACCCAGCCATTTTCATAGAATCCATAAGTATCCACTAAACACATCACAACATTTTCACTCTTGCTTACAATATTACGTGTCCCTATCTTTGATTTAATGGCAACAACATCTTCCTCTCTTGATCTGTGATTCATTTTAAAGGCCTTTCTGATGTTTGTAAGTCTCTCATACCAGTCAGTGCTGTTTAGATCAATACTTCCATCCTCCGATAACAGTATATAGTACAGGAGACTACGATCTAAACAAAGTATGAAAAAGCAAACATTTACCTTTACTTAATATTATACTGTTTATGATGTAGAATGTTTCTATTCAATTTATTCTAGAAAAAATATTTACAACTACATGTATTACTATGTTTGATTTCAATATTTTATGAATGAATTAAACTTCTCTAAATTTATGTTGGTACATGTATGTAATTTATTTTAAGCAATGATAAAATTACCAGCATCTTCGTCATCACTATTTTCCTGGTTTTCATCGTCCTCCGTTTTCTCCATGTATGAATCCTCGTCGTTACTATCTTCCTGCATTGCATTGTTACCCAATTTACCGATGCAGGAATCACTTTCTAAATCTGATGAAACAGACGGAGTTGTACTGTAGACATTTGAAATTTCAGAACCGCCTATTCTTAAGCGTTTTTGCGGAAATGCCTTTAAAGAAAATAAATATTGTCAATATGATATTGTAACAATCACTTAAAAACACTTAAGTGTTCACTCAAGTAAATGTTTTAAGTTTTCAATCACTTGAAAGAACATCTAACTAGAAATACTATAGTAAACTTTGATAGTAATTCAAAGTTTGGAAGATTTCACTATAGTTAATCAAAGTTCAAAAGTGTTCACTATATAAAATCAAAGTTCCAAGTTGTCAAAATTAATAGTAAATCAAGTCATGTGATTCTTAAATTAAGTAAAAAAAAAGTTTCAAAGACTTCATTATCTATAGTAAATTAAAGTTCCAAAGTTTTTATAATTGTAAATCAATTTTTTAAAGCTTTTACCATAGTAATCAAAGTTTCAAAGTTTTTACTTACTAGGCACTATGGTAAATTATTGTTTACTATAGTTTACTGTTGTATTCCTTCGTTATGGATTGTATATTTCAAATTATTTTAACTTATATGTCTCCTTAACAAATGTCCAAAGAAAATACTGTCTAGGCCTCTCCTTCAACAGAGCTACTGCGGCAGCAGATATGTCAGCCTTGTTTTCAGAAAAAAAAATATATCACAAGGAAACAATGTCTTGCAGTACTTTTAATGAGAGGTAGTCTAACTCCATACTGATTATTATTTTTTCAAATTTCACTTGAAGGTTACAACATGGTGCACTTTGGTGCAATGCTTTGAAATTTGATAAGATTTTTACATGAAAGTAACATAGCCTTTAAACTAATATTTTGCATGATTAACTCTGGATTAAAATTTTATTAATTTCCATTTGTAAACATTTGTTCTTTATAGCTTCAAAATTGTCAAATGAACACTTGTTTTGTTTAGTATAGATTCAATACGTATGACATATGCCAGTATATACATGTAAAAACGACAGTTTAAACGAAAATGAATCTTATGCAGTGTAATAATTAACACACAGAATCTTATGCAGTGTACTAATTAAAGCCCTTCGGGCGCAATGAATATTGGGATCAAGTGTAATATACGGTATTGTAGTCCCTGCGGATTTTCACTCTTAACAGAATGAGTAAATAGGCCAAGTATATAAAATTATTTATATTTTATTTACATATTCATTAATAACATGTACATAATATACATATTCATTAAGTTTTAAAATTAACAGTAGATATTGGTAAGCAGGTCGACAGGTCGGCAGGTCGACAGGTCGACAGGTTAGCAGGTCGACAAGTAAACAAGTCAGCTAAATTTGATGGTCAGCAGGTCGACAGTTAAGCAGGTCGACAGGTAAACAGGGCAACGGACCGACAATTTAACAGAAAAGCACGTCTACACATCAGTGATAGGCATGAATGTCAATTTAAATACCCAATTAAATCACACAATAAAACAGTTAAATTATGTCATTGGGTTGTTATCAAGATTCCATTTTCCCTCACCCAGTACTACTAGAATCGTGGTATTTCCAAAAACACATTCCCCGTTCTTAAGCAACATATTCATATATATAATATATGTATACATTATATATCGTAAACATTAACTGTATACTAATTGTTAATTGTTAAATTCATAGATTTTTCTCTATCACAAAAGTTACAAACTAGATCACCAAAGAGACTCAATAAGTTCTGCTTGAGGGTGATGCTGAATCATCAACATTTTTAAGTCCTCAGAGACTCCAGTCATGTCCTCAAACGTGGCAGAATAGCTTTCTAAACTAATAGAAACCGATTTCAGCATTTTTTGGTGATCCCCGACTTCTTCATCAATGCATGAAGGGTGCAGCTTGTAGAACAGATCTCTTACTCCATGTCTGGTTTTAACCGTCTTCAACTTACCAAACCCCTGTCTTTCAATTAGTTCCAATTCAACTAAAATTAAATAAAACATTTTTAAGATAGATAAAAGATAAAAGGCTTATAAATTAAATCAATACACCGTTACATTGTAATTGAGAATTACTTTATACTTTAATTCTATTTTTTTTTTTAAATAAATTAAAACAATTATTTTCAATTCAACTAAAATTAATTAAAACATTTTTAAAATAAATAAAATATATTAGGCATATAAATTAAATCAATACACCGTTATATTACCTTAACTGAGAATTAAATTATACTTTAATTCTATTTTTTTTAAATCAAAACAATTATTTCAACTAAATTACTCAAATCATTACTTACTTTTAATATTCTGAGCCAGAGAACCTTTGAGATGATTTTGCAAGCATCGGACTGAAACACATGGCGACTTCGCACTACACAGAACTCTAAAAACCCGATCTCTGAAGGTCATTGATGGTCTAATCCTGGATTGTGCATTCTCCTTTTCACAAGATTCAACAGCCTAAATGTTTAATTTTGTTCTAGTGTCAATTTAATTAAATGTACACATTTTTAAAATCTCAAATTCAATTATTTTTTATTCAATATTTACCTGCATGAATAGAGATTTCTGTTGAGCAATAGCATTATACAGCATCATGGCCTGTTTCAGTGTTTCTCTTTGTATTTTTGTTGGCGTTGGAGATGGCCTCCGGTGTTCTAGTGCCCCCGTAATTTTGTGCTGTACAATATGCAGTATTGCTGATAGACGCAAAATGTGAGTTGTGTCTTTGCTAGAAATTTTTAAGGTGTTTTCCATGTTTATGTCTTGACTAACCATCTCATTTTCTTTTTCTTCTTCTATAAATAAAATAAATATTTTTCATTTGAATTTACATTTATACTTCTTTCCACATAAATTCAACGTGTACTTTTCAATTATTTTTGAATAACTTATCTTTTTATAACATACTAACAAATAAATAAAATATAAACAAAATGTTTAAAATAAAAAATCTATTGTTTTCATTTTAAAGAAATATTTGCAATTGTATAAAAATTTTAAATAATTATTAAAGAGAATGACAACTTTCTATTGTGACGTCATAATAAAACTTCGCAAAAACTCAGTATTTTATGACGTATTTCATATAACGAAATTTAGAAGAAAAAAAAATTTGAATAAACTGCATTAATTGCATTGAACTAAAATTGAAACTACTAGTATACCATCATGAAAAACCATGATATTTGTCCATGTTATCATAATGATGTACCATTTCAAATAGCAAATAATTCACTAAATAAAAAAAAATAATAAATTTTAACTTTACATTTCATACATATGTGTATAAGTAAGCTTTCTGAATTAATACTGTTTTGCTATATAAATATTGAATATACCTTCATCAGATCCATATTTAGAATTAATAAATTCTGCGTATGAATCCGTAAGAGCCTCAAATGTTTGCTCTGCCTCCCTTGATAAAGTGTATAGGCACCCTTTCACATGCTCCTCATATATGTTAGTCATAATTTCCACCACATCAAGTAGTCCTGTTTCCCTAAGTTTTGGAAGGAATTCCTTTGTAACCGATGACGGATGAAATACGGGCCTGGCCACAAAAAACAGGAAACGGTCAATGAAACCGTCATCCCCTCCTAGACTCACAAGTTCCTGCATCATGGGTTGTGGTTGAATAAACAGACATCAAGAAATCGATGTTTTATCAAACCCCCTCTGCCCCGTCACTAGAGTGGACGAATCACCTTTTCCTCCCCACATCTTGCATAGTAAAGCTCTCTCGCCTTCACCTTTAGATTGTTTGACATTTATGGAGGTCAAAAATCTATGTCCCTCATCTCCGGTCACCAAACCATATCCCGAATTATCCGACTGGTGTTTTTGCAAACCAGCAGTAGTGTAGGTTTCCAATTGCAAATTCATACCATGTTTTCTTTTCAATTGTTCAAAAACCGGGTCAATGATTCTATAAAAATGTTCGACTTTCCCCCTCCTGGTGCACAGACATTGATAATGAATTGGTTCAAGACCGTAGCAAACTCGCAACTTTGTACTTCTATTTTCGTCAAAGGCCCACACAACACAGCAGTCATAGAAATAAGACTGGATGTTACCATAGTTTTGGCACAGTTTGTGGCTTTTTCAAATAGTGTTAGCCAGTTGTCCACTTTTTCACTGAATACGAATTTCCAAGGAATGGCAATTCCATAAGAATTTTTGTACAAGACTTTATCCTCCTTGCCCCTGCCATGATTGATTTCAATGTTTGTTTGTTGTCACCGTCAACGTTTATGACGTCATGAATTTAAAACCGTTTCAGGGAAAATTGTTCAATATACCTCCCAAATTTAAATGTTTATTTTTTAACTTGACTGACGTCATTAACTACATCTAAACGGTAAAATGGCTGGAAAAATGAACGAAAATTTTTCAAGATCTTTTAAAGCAATTGATTTTTACAGAATTATTTCTGATAAAAATGAATTAATTTCCTACTTGATGTCTAAAAACATTTTGATGAATCGAATGATTTGCGATATTTGTGATTCAGAGATGAATTTAATATGCCGCAAAGATATATCGGACAAGAATCAATGGAAATGTATCATTTGCTTATCAACATGCTCCATACGGAAAAATTCTATATTTGAGGTAAATATTTTATTATTATTATTTTCACTGATAAACATGAAAAAAAAAATATTTCATTGAATTCAAATAATAAAAAAATCCATATTACATTTTTTGTGTATATTTTATATTATTTCAACAGAATTCCAAGATGCCGCTGGAAAAACTTACAGAATTAATTTATTATTTTGGCATGGATTTTCAAATATATGAAGTCGAAAAGTTAATGGACATCAACCACAAAACAGCCATAGAATGGTCTGACAAATTAAGATCTATGACAGTGGATTTCCTGAAAAAAGATCCTATCATTTTAGGAGAAAGCTTGGGTACTATTGAAATAGACGAGAGCCTTTATGGTAAAAAAAGAAAATATAACAGAGGAACTGGCAGACAAGATAC